TTTACATTTTCAAATTAATTAATTATGTTTCACAAAAAAATGACTTTAGTCAGTCAAATTGTAAGGGACACTAACCCTGCAAAATCACAGCAACTAGGGGTTTAAAATAATTGTAACATTAAGTCAAGTGCATTTTCGAAATTATTAAAAATTGTTTTGGGAACATTTTAATGACTAAGTTTGAATCTTTTTATACAAACTAAATGCAAGAGTATGCCCAATTTTCTTGGATTTTTCTTGGCTAAATTTCCTCTTTTTACATGAGGCAATGAAACACAGAAATTTACTATAAGGTTTTTCTTTCTGAAAACCTGGAATATCTTGAAAGGTTAAAAAGATGCAAAAAATGTTCACAAAAATCAACAGAGAATTGCTTGAAGAAAGTGTTTACATCAGGGGTCCTGCCCCATTCAATCAACATTCTATAGGGTTTTTCCTCCAAAATAAAGAACTGAGCTCCACTACTGAAGGTATACATTTTTGTGTGAATTTTGAAATCAAAGCACCATGGATGTGTTAACATTTTTTTCAAGTTGATCCAGAATGGGTCTTGAAAGTGGTGAGAGTGTGACTGAGGGAAAGGCATCAACCCAGCCACACTTTTTTTATTGAGATTCAAGAGTGTAGGACTACTCTTTTCAGAGCAATTTTTTTTTCAAGTTGATCCAGAATGGGTCTTGAAAGTGGTGAGAGTGTGACTGAGGGAAAGGCATCAACCCAGCCACACATTTTTTTATTGAGATTCAAGAGTGTAGGACTACTCTTTTCAGAGCAATCTTTTCATATCCTACAAAATTTTACGAGTGATGCTCAGGCTACTAACCCGTAAGGGTCTAAATCCACAGGGGTTTGTATAGTAAGTAATGAGAGTAATACTAAAAAGGAGGAGGAATACTTTACAACGTTTACTACTGTTGTACACCCCGACTTTTTAACGTAGACTGCATCAGACTTGCTATCATCATGACACATTTTCAAAATCTACCAAAATTAATACTAACCATTGCCCAGGTGTGGCTGGGCACCCCCAGCTTGTAGTGAATAAACTGATGAATGCACAATCGGCTGTTTGCGGCCTAAGGGTCCTGAACCCTCAACTTCTGTTTATAAATAAAAATGTCCAAGTCCACAAATAATTCCCAGCAAATAAGTCACACAATAAATCAGCAGGTCTGTTCTCTCCAAAGTCCAGAGCAGGATTGATTGATTCTGCTGTTCCTTCCTCACAGGTCCAGGTCCTCCCCAGTGGAAAGCTTCTCCAAGGTTTTCATTGGGGTGTGTCTGATTGTCTGTTTCTAAATTCCATGTAATTTCTTTCATCAAGTGGTGATTCACTTGATGGAATATTTTTCCTGAAGATCAATATCTTCAGGTTTCATAATGTTTGGATAAAAATGTTTATTCTTTTTTGTTCCTGAATGTTCTTGAATTTGTTTTCTTGTACGACGTAGCGTTACCATGCGCTGCGTTGCACTTTCTGTGCCTCTCTTGTCCCTGCGCTGCGGGCAACATCTAGTCGACCCGCAACATCTCAGCCACGTTTTTGTCTTGAAAACTGGTGTACTGGTTTCCTTGCATGAATGTCATCATCTTCTGATGCATGGCCTTCTTTTTTCTTTCAAGTAAAAAGCCAAAATAATTTATCCTTGAATGCATGAACTCATTTCCTCTCATGAAGGTTGTCATCTTTTGATGCATATCCTGCTCCTATTTTTATAGATAGCCAAAATAATTCATCCTTGAAACATAACACCCTTCACAGTTCCATGTCAATAGAACCTTGAATATTGTTGTCTACAATCTTCAGCTACTGTTTTGTATCACCAACCAAGGACACCAAAAGTCCGAAAGTTTGATTTTTTTTTTCTGAAAGCAGTACTAATCCTGCTCAGTCAACTGAGCTTGGTCTTGGGAGTGGAAGTTCTCAAGTGTGTCCAATGGCAAGAAGAATAAGGCTGTAATTTCCATCACAGAGAAGAGGGAAATCTTCAATTTTGAAGAAAGAAATCCCAAAAGCAGTCAACAATTTTTGTCAAGCCATTGTTCACTCCTGTGAACCAAAATTGAATGGTTGCAGTGTATCACAGTGTGTTTCTTTTTTATGTCAAGACAACCAACTGAACACCTAAAATATGTGTGCACTATGGTACAAAAAGCCCCATGTACATCAAGGTGATGAGGTCCACAAAAGAAACGGACATTCATACCACTTACACATTTCACTAGCACAGCAGATGAGGATAAGCTGGGACCAGGAACCACTTTATCCTCATATTCAGTACCTTTTGAACCTTGTTAAAACTGCCAACGTTTATGCCACCAAATTTTGGCAGTTCAAAAAGGGTGGTGGTTTAATGGGGGAAACAGGGTTGATGCATGGAAAATAAAAGCAGCACGGATGAGTGGAGCTAACTAATTTATTCAAGTTTTAAAGCATTCCATTCAAAATTTCCAGGGAGCACACTTTCACTTAGTAGATTATTCAGAGATGTCATTGTGAATACTCCACGCACCACTTTTGGTTCATTGATTCAGATCAATAGCTCATTTACCTAGAACAGACAACACATTCCAGAATTTTTAAAAGGCCATTCCAGTATGAAATTAATTTTTAGACTTGTCTAGTGCATACTACAATTCCATATTCTAGAGGTACAATTTTATTATTCCAAAGCAAAAAATTGTTCTGTACCTTGAGCTGATGTGCATGAGCAAGTTGTGAATAGATGTCTGCCTCATTTTCTACTCTCCAATTTTTGGAATGGCACTGATCTCCTCCCATCCTTAAACAAATGTCCATAACTCCCTCCTTAGCTTCTTTTGTTGTTCAAACAAACTGTTCTTCCACATCTTCTTCAGAGGATATTTGGCAATTCTCCTCATTCCTGACAATTTTGACAATGTCATCCTCTGACAATTGTTCATTTGTTGGGGCATTGCATACAAGGCCAAGAAACACTTCTGCATCCATTAAGTTGCTCTAATGCTGCTGCAAGTTCTTCTCAACCATCCTTGCCATCAGAAACAAAAAGAGTTTTGTGTTGTTTTTGTCCAGTATGAGTCCAACTATTCACAATGGTTTCAGCTGAAACAGCATCCCAAGCCTTCTTGATCATGTGGATTTCATCTTTCAAAGATATTGCAATGGGCTTGTCATTGTTGATGCATTCAATAAACTTATGAACTAGATGTCAATGATAAGGACAAGGATCTTGAGCCTTGAAGCACCTTATGATGCCTGCATGAAAGTGGCTGCAGCATGCTGGTGCAGTTTGGGGGCAGATTCCGTCCTCACATTGCTCAAAGTTTCCTTCTTATGACAGGTGGCATTGTCCAGCAGCAACAGAATGTTCATTTTCATTTCAGCATTATAGTGTTTTAGCCACACAGTGATCTCTGCAGCAGTCATCCATGCCTTTTTGTTGTGTCTGTAGTCCACATAAAGCTCTGGATTTATGTTTCTAAAGCATCTGGGGTGAGCAGACTTTCCAATGACAGTCACAGTCCTTTTGTCACTGCCATCAGTATTTGTACAGAAGGTAGCTGTAATTCTATCCTTCATTTTTTTGCATCCTTATACTGGCCCAGTTGAAATGGTCTTGTCAGGCTGCATATGATAGAAAAAGCCACTTTCATCCTTGTAGGCTGAATGATAGCAGATGGCCCATTCTGGTCTTCAGTAACCACAGTTTAATCAACTCTTACTGTTCAACAATGTCTGATTGCTTGAAAGAGTCCCTCTCTTTTTTTGAAATGAGCCAGCCATCCATTGCTTTTGCTGAAGCCTGTGATTTTAAGATCCTTTCCAAATTTTTCAGCTTGAGCCTTGATCACAGCATCTGTCACAGAGCAATGTTCGGCATTTACTTGTCCAATCCATGTAAGAAGTGCCTCTTCAAAGCTTGGCTGCTTTAAGGTGGGCCACGTTTCCAGGCAGATCTTCTTGAAGCCGCTTCTTTAATTGACTTGGAATGTCACCAATTGGTCTACTAGTAATGTGATTCCTATCAGAAACATTTGATTTCCCATCAAGTCTGGGCTCTTTGGTCAACTTAGGATCCAGATTTTTCTTGGTGGAAAGAAGAGTGCATAGAATGAATAGGACCAACTAGGGTCTTGCTACGGTTTCTTCCATCTGTATCACATTCATTCCACTGGAGGTGAAATTTAAGAAAAAGGTATCGTATTCTTTTGGTCCACTCAGGTGCTTGTGGACATCATCAGTCATCTGGACTCGGGTAGCCTGCTGAACCTGTCGCTGACGAGCAAAATCATTCGTGACGTCATTGCCCTCGAACTCGACAACAAGGGCATTGTCGTGCCTCGTTGGCGACGTCGTGGCAACAACTTGCCTGGCTGGGAAGTGAGCGAGTTTGTGTGGAAACTGTCGACGGGTTTCGAGGCTGTTCGGGACTGGAAATTCGAGGATAATTTGCACGCCGTGACCGAACACTTGAAGACGTGTCCCTGTTTCGTGCGATCTGTGCCCACGGAAATTGTGATGCTCTGCGGAAAAGGTGACATTTGTGCAGTACAGGATTGTTTTTTTTTTCACTGCTTATATTAAGTTTTTTTTTTTTGAAAATGAGAGAAACCAATGAGAGATGTAATATAACAAGCAGGAAAGAACATTGGGGGAAGTTCTGCCGGGACCTGTTCCTTTTTCGCAATCCTGCCAAGGTTACATTCTTGTTTCAAACTAAATCATGTGAAGCTACCGTGGAATTCCCCGTTACAACAAATTTCGCTATAACCGATTTTTCATGATGCAGTATATATATATTTTTTTCTTGGTTGTACCGGTCTTCATAAGAACAATGTTATAATTCTCAAATTTTAACGAATTAATTTTTTAGCTCGAATATTAATCCGATTCATTGGATATGATTTATTGATTGATAAATATGTTTTATTTGCTGCTTGTTGGCATTTAAAAGGTTCAAAACAAGTCCCCCCCCCCCCCATATCCCACACACATTTACTCATTCAAAAATGGAAGTAGAAAACAAATTATGCATCGGAGTGCAAAAAAAAAATGGGTGAATTATTTCATTGGCATTTTCTTCCTGAAAAAAAAACAGAAAACCCGTTGATTACGATTTAAAGCACAACGTATTATTCAGCCTGTTCTCAGGTGATGATAAATTGATTGAGCAATGAAGTTTCAGAAAAAAATCCCTAGAAGACATTGTATAGGGCTAACACCTCTTCCCTTTTCCTCGAAGATTTCAGAGAGAAAATTTTCATTAAATTTTGAGTATGCAAAGTCTTCCAAAGTTCAGTTGGGATGGTGTTGGATGCTGGGAAAAATGATCAAGATATATTTCAAACTGACCCAGAACTATCTTTTTTTTTTTGCAGCAGGAATCCCAGAAAAAGGTCAGCAGCCGTTCTGAAACTCTTCGGAAACTTCCTTGAAGTGATTTTGAAATTGGAAAAAAATATTCACGGTGTCCTCCTTCGACAATTCAACGATGTGCGTGGAAACGAATATTCTGACCTGAACTGAATAAGTGAATGTTGTGTTTGTTGCCAGTTGGCGACCCTGTGAGTTCGCATCGGTATCTATTTTGTCGCGTTGTGTTCATATGACGAAAACATTGCTTCAGATACTATGAATATGCGTACATGATTGCACTAACTAAGTTAACGATAAGACACACTAAACTAAACTAAAGACCTTAGACTAAATACTAGTCACATACCGCCCTAAAGCAAGCTCCTTTAAGCACCCTTATGTTTACGATTGCTTGATGAATCTCTGGGTCGTATTTCCGCCACAATCTACCTAGTGTTCCCCTAACGTTTTTGATACCTGTCATCAATTCCTTCGACCAAAACATTTATTGCAATCGAGTTGAAAATCCTTGAAGCAGCTGTAGTAAAATGTTTGAAGAAAAAATTATAAAGTTGGACTCCGAGAAAAGTTTCCACACATGAATACTAAAAATATTGTATGTCACCTGGTTAAAAATGTGTCTAATGTGTCATGAGGAAAGCGAACTTTAATATCTTCAGATAGGTATAACTGCCATTGTCTTTCTAAAATTTAAGATGTAGATTACAGACTTCTTTAACACCTTTGATAATTATGCTGAAGAAAATGCCCCATGAGCTGGGAAAAATTCTGTGGACTAGCGCTGGTCTGTGGGCCACAGGTTGAAGACAACTGATCTAAACTGATTGCAGGTGTGATGCAAAATTTGTTCATGTTATAGTTTTACAGGTAGACTGTTGGAAAAAAATTGAGGGGATCAGAAAAAAAGTTGTTTTAGACTAGATATTGTTGTGATGAACTTCAAATGGGATGTGTAGACTCTGTAGAGGCCCCATGGGACCAAAAACATTCTTTTTACAGAGAAAATGGTTTAATCTATGTCTTCAACCTGTACTAGACTTACTGTATTTGCAATCAGCACCCTAGATTGTTGCTGCGTTAATTACCTAATTACCATGAATACATTTTTTTTGAAATTTTGATGAGAGGAGTGGGTGTGCATAATAAGTGGGTATACATTTTTTCAATTTATACAAGTTCAACTTATATTCAATTCTTAAGGAAAATTCAGCACCGAACAGCATTTTCTGGGTCATGAATCAAAGTAAATTAATGCTGAAAGTTGTTGAAGATTTTTTTAGAACTGTATGTCGTATTTACCCCAGTAACACATACACTTCTTCAAACTTAGAAGAAAAAATTAGAGTGGGGGGGGGGCATTTCATAGGCAGAAAACCATTTTCAAAACAGTTCACAACTTTTGATGTGCGTTACATTTCAGTTTAGTGAGAAATTTCAACAGAAAAACTTATTCCAATAGATCTAATTGAAAATGTGTGGAATCCCAATCGATTTCTGGTTCAAATTCAAGTTTGGATGTTGTCATTTTTGAAATAATGCAGTTTCAGAGTCACTGAAAATGCAGTGTGCTTTTCGCTCAGTGGGGATACAGACCAATTTTATCAAAATTTTTGACTGAAGAAACCTGGTTAATGTCTTATTTGAGGGTATGTGGTACTCAAGTAAATGGGATATACTGTATCAACCACATGCGCATATGCAGTGCAATGAGTTTTTTTTGGAGCACACCATCATTATACTTCAAGTAATAAAATCAAAACCGGTACAGTATTTAAGAACCAACAATCTCTCATTTTCCATCCCAAGAATTTCCATCATCACCCCTGATGCAATTCACTGATTTTCATGTACAGTACTACACATGCAAACCATAGTTGGGAACTCCTTTCCTTTTTAATAATCAAGACAAACACTCACAATGTCCATTCACTGAACACGTCCCCGCTCTTCCTCCCTTCTTTAGTGTTATTTAGGACGTCCCCATTGGGAGTTTGAGGGGTTTCGGAGACCGTTACGTTTCTGACCCACAACCGACGACAACCAGGAGGTCGTTTCCTTGAGGACGAAGGTACCATTCGACGACGAGCTGCTGCCCTCTAGTGTTGGCATTATTCGGTGACACTGGTACCCATTCCGCATCTGCATCAGAGTCCTCCTGATTCGTCTGGATGACGGGTGGTGTCTGTATTATCGGTGGCATGAGTCCTGATGGGAATCGGGTCCCAAATGGTTCGTTATTATTATTATTATTGAAGGATGGAGGACTGATGGAGTTGTCTGCGTGGTGCTGGTGGTGTTTGCGACGAGCTGTGTAGGTGAATTTGGTGCGCCTGCTGGTGGTGGTTGTGGCGCTTCGGCCGCCGGTGTTTGATGACGGGAGAAGGGATTGGAGGTTGCTTTCGAAGAAGCTGCTGCTGGGGAAATCCGCGCCCTGCAATACCAGCGTTTGCAAAGGTGCTGCTAATGATGACTGCTGCAGCTGGGGGTTCTCTGCGAAATATCAACAGTATACAGTACAGTAAAATATCGTTACAGTGTACTCGCAAGGACCTCATGGAAAATGCGTTGTTCCTAAAATTTCGTTGCACAGTATCATCATTCAGGGTCTTCACCGCACTTGAAATAGAAATTTAGTGGGAAAGGGAAGAAAATATTCAAGTGCTTCCAAAACAGGTGATTGGAGGCCTATTACATTTAATACTGTACTGTATGTAACTTTGATTGAATGAAGAGGAAAATTTTGAAAAAGGAGTACTCAACAGCACTCTCCTTTCCTTATCCATTACAATTGTCTTGTTACTGAAGTGTTTTTTGTGTGGATGCAAATAAGAATGAGCAAAATTAAATGTGGTAGAACTTTCTTTCTGGATCAACTTATTCATTCGCACATGTTTCTTCTTTCACATAGAGTCAAATTTTAGTATTTCTAAAACAGATGATTCAAGAATCATCATAAGGAATTGCCGGTATTTACTTGAGTACCACTTGCACCTTTTTCTTGAATTTCAGAAGAAAGAAAGGGGTGTGCGTCATAAGTGGGTACACATTTTTCAAGAAGTTTTAGGAAGTTTATGTGTGCATAATACTTAATTATAATTGAGACATTTGGAACAAATGTACCAAGAAATTGTTTATACTGGAAAAGTTGAAAATTGATCAGATTTTCATTCAATTCACGTCTAAAGTCAATTTGTTGTTGCTATTTTTGAAATTTTTGCGTGTCTTACTCCAGGATAAGGTTTTTGCAAAATTTTAAACTGAAAAACCCCTGTGCATGCCTTACTGGAGGGCGTGTGGTACTCAAGTAAATACAGTAGATATGCATTTTTGATCAAAGGAAGATAAACATTTTGAAATGAGTAGTACTTTCTTTATTCATTATATAAATGTGCAATTTCACAAAAGTGTTATTTGTCCTTAAAAAATGAAATAAAGCAAAATAACATGTGTTAAAAATACTGGACTTCCTCCTCAAATGTATGCATTCATACCAGGTTTTTCTTACAAACAGAGGAACACATTTTCTGCAGCGTAATGTTCATTTGAAGGAAATGCATGCATTCTAAAATAGAACCAAAGAATTGTCAAGGATTATGACATGCTATGAAATTTTTGTCAGAGTTTCAGAAGTAACGTCTTTCAGTACGAAGAAACTACTTCAACCTATAGACATAGAGAAGTAAAGAGAGTAAAAGGACAGTAAATAGTTTGTTAGGTACTTACCGGATACGTGTCTTAGTCCCTTTTTTATGCATTATTCTGAAATGAGATTACAGCAGCCTGAATGAGTTTGTTCAAAGGAGATTTTAAATCATTGTGCATATGGAGGAGTGCCAGGAGGAAGAAAAAAATGTGTTATAATGGGATTCTTCTTTATATAATTCTCCTGTGCTCAATTTCATTGACTTAATTTCAAAGGATTCCACATAGCAACAGAAAAGCCCAAAAAACTGTTACAGTATTTTGAAAGTATATACTCATTCCAAAGTCATTTCTTCATTTACAAATGTTATAGTTCCTTTAAATAAATAATTAATCCTCTGAACAGTTGTTCATTTGAAAAAAATAAACGTATGACTTGTTGAATTTTAAAATGAGTGAGCTAGAAAAATCCAGCAAAAACAATATGTTGAATATTTTCCCTGACACTAAAATTTCTTGAAAAACAATGCGTTTTCAGTGGATTTGTCCATCAATCTGTTGTTAAGGTATTAATATTGCTTCCTTGCAACATGATTATGCGTCATCTATATATTTAAAAAAAACCGGAAGAGTTGCTTACCTTCACAAACCAGGCGACATTGTTGATTTCCACCTGAAGCTTGGTCCCATAAAATCCCGAAAACAGTCACAGAGAAGCTGAACCCTAATAACGAAGCCATGAATGCACGGTACTTGAAACGTCTGTTTCGAATTTTCCACTTTTCTTTTTTTTAATCTGTAGATCCTACTTGAGTGCTGGGCGGCAACCAAGTGAGATTTTGCGCCTTGACTCATTTACTATATCAGTGTGACCAGAAAGGAAAGTACAGTGAGATTCCACCAATATTCAGGGTATAATGACATTTGAGTGAAGTGCCCACATATGGCTGCGGGATGATGGAAAGACGGGGTATTCCCGATTAGTTAACATACTCCGCAATATAGGAGTGAAAGAGAGTTAATACAAACAACGAAACTGGGTCGCCGAACTTTTAAAAGCAATAAAAACCTTAATAACAAACCTTTTATAAAAGTCTATTGCATAGCATATTCTGCAACTTGTATTGGGAAAATACATCAGGTGGTGATGGTCTATGTACAGTACTGTACTTAAATGTGGAGCCTCAACATATGGCAACCCAAACAAGCAGACAATTGAACTTTTGACACTTAGGAAACCTAAATTAAAATCTGGACAATTTTTTCAAAATATGCACACTTTGTGAGAAATTCTAGGAAAATTGCTATCAATATCATACTTGAATAAGGTTGAAATTTTTTAAGCCACTGTGATGTGCATAAACTCCATTACAAATTTTTTATAATTTTACTCCAATTCATTGAGAGAAACTAACCTAATGGGTTTTCAGTCAACTCTGTAAAATCCAGTAATATAATGTGTGCCTGTTTTCCTTTCAACTTCTGGAGTCTTTTGATGTAAATGGAGAGATTTTGTATGATTTTCTTCTGCACAATTATTTTACAGGTGAGCCTTTATTTCATATTGCAGGAATTTTTCCACTTCTTTGCAAACCATAACATCATTATGTTTGTGACCAAAATTTTTGGGAGAATGTGACAAAAATTTTTAACTTTGGATCTTATGGAAAAATGTGATGCACCATGTGAATGATTTGAGATTGGCCAGAAGTGTTTTAACTATAATCGATAATCTGCATCTTGAGGCCTCACTGTTGTTCAATAGGGCCTTCATTGATTAATGCTGAGGATTGAGGAAGTATTGAGTATGCTGAGGTGCTAACCTGTGCTCAGATGATAGAGAATGCTGAAAAATAAGCACAAAATTAACCTGTCTTTCATTATGAATTCAAGTAAATATATATTGATTCTCATCAGTATCAACCTCTGTGAATACAAGTAGCCCAATTTGTTCAAGAGACATTCAAATTTAGAAAAATTACAATTTTCAATTTTCTAGAAATGCAGAGAATGTGTCAATATATGTCGAGGTATTGTCCAAATTTTGTGCCGAATTTTATTCAATTTCCAAGTGTCCCCAAGTTGAATCATCCATATGTCGGGGCGTCAGCATTTTTTTGGGTCTCATTGTATTGACAAAATCTGTTAGCTCGTTTTTAAAGCCATGAGGAGAGAGCATAATGACTGATTGCCAGCACTCTTTAAAGGCCAATAAAACGAAAGCTGAAATTTCATGCTTGAAAGCAGAAGCAGTTTCATATATTTTTTCGCATCACGTGCAGCGGAAACGAAAGAAGTGCGTGAATAAAATCTTCCGTCTAGTTTCGATAGTCAGAAGAAACAAGAATCCATAAGATAATTTCAGTCGATTGTCTTTTTGTTTCCGCAAGGACTTTCGCCATCGCAAAAAAAAAGTTTCCGGTCATGCTGAATTTCAAGTTGAAGTCACGATTCGTTTCGCCCTTCCACTCGGAGGCGCATTTGCGTTCTTCATCGCCTCTTCCATTGGGTCCCATTCCTCGCTTTTTTGTCTCTGAGGTGGAAGTTTGCCATGCTGATTCGAATTCCTCAGATACTGCATGATCATCTTTTTCTGCAGGAAAATGCAAGTTTTTGAGAATCATAATTTGATTTCTTTCAGGGTGTATACAGGGTGAACCAAAAAAAAAGTGAACCGATTTTGGCCTTAATGCTTGTGTGGCAAAGTTGGGATATTTTTGCAAAATTTTGTCCCCATGCCGTGAGGGCAGAAAAAAACATTATTTTTGAACCAAGGCCTAGGTCATGAAGAAGTCCAAAAATTGTTTTACGTCCTACAGAAAATTATGGCTCAAAAATAAAAATGTTCCATCCCTTTTGTCCTCATGCCATGAGTGTGAGAAATAAATAGGATTAAATATTATTTGCCAAAATGAAACACAACAATCAGCTGAGCTGCAGCCGGAGTGAATAACACCCTAGTTTAATGTTGTTATATTTCTTTGATTTGAAAACACAAGTCCAAAATCTCCGCAATATTGCTCAAAATCAAAACACCGGATGTTGCTTGTACAAATCACACTGTTAGAGTGAATTTTAGGAACAAATTTGGTGACCAGGAAAACTTCATAGAAGGTTGGTCAGAGATGACCTATCGTAGATAAGAAATTATAGAGAAGAAATCAGAATGAGACATTTGACCTTGGAGGTCATACATGAATTTCTCCTTGAGGAGAAGGTTACAAGAGAGTTCATGGCCTTGGGTTCCCACGGGATTAGCAGGAGGATGAGTTTGGCACCAGCCAAACTCATCCTCCTGCTAATCCCGTGGGAACCCAATTTTTGAACAGTTTTTGGACTTCTTCTGGACTTAGGCCTTTGTTCAAAAATCATATTTTTTTCTGCCCTCATTGTTGCGAATATTTTTCATAGAATTGGAGAATGAGTTTGGCACCAGCCAAACTCATTTATATTAATATGATTTTTGCCAAACTCATTAATATGATTTTTGAACAAAGGCCTAAGTCAGGAAGAAGTCCAAAAATTGTTTTACATCCTACAGAAAAAATTATGACTCAAAAATAAAAATATCCCTTTTAGGGTGGCATTTCTTTATGCATTCACAGCATAGGATTAACATCAGGGATTTCTTGAGACAATGGGGGGACTATAGTCAGTGAAATGCCCCCCCCCCCCAAATCCTGACTTTGCTACAGGACATCCAGGAACCAAGGGTTAAAATAGCTCAGTAGCAAATTGAACTGGGTAAATTACTGGTCCTGCCCCATTTATTCCTGAAAACAGCTCTGGAGAACAGCTGTTTATCCTGAAAGAAGTTATTTTTTATAGAAAGTTTTCATTCAAATGGTATTCTTGTGACCATGCTGTGACACTCCTTGGGACCATCAAGCTATGTATAATTTCAGAGGGAATTCAGCAAGCTTTTAATTGCTGTTTTTTTGTTACCACAGCTTAATTTCCTACTGAGCTATTTTAATTGAAAAATGTAACTTTTTTTTGGCCAACTGTTTAAATGCTTGAATACGTACCCTTTTCTGAGCCACTCCCAGGCAGACCATCCTGAACCTTAGTGAAATGACGCCCATGAAGATGATGAAGAAAACTCCCTGAAATGCATTTCAAGTGTTGTGATTTTCTTCTGAACAAATGATGAATAATAATGGATTTACTGTATATCCTTGCTACATTCACTTGCTACAAAAAAATGAGTGGTTCACAGGTATTTCAAGTTGTTTTTCAATTCTCTGTCTGAATTTTCTTAGAACCAATGCATTAAAAACCTCCATAACACAAAATTTCCTCCTTAAACCTCCATGACTCAAATTTGCTGGAGGTCTTTTGGTCATTATTTTATGAGTGCAGAAAAGAGAAAAGCACTGAAAATGTACGTTGATGTGTTTTAAAAGCAAGTGAAAGATTGATTGGTAAAATAAACTCTTGCCTTCAAGTTCAGCATCCTGTCAACTCATTTAAGAATCAATTTATAAGGCACAGCTGCAGAATATCACCACTGACATTTTACAGTAATTCTTCTTTCCTGTCCCCTATGAAACATTTATTTCCCCAACTCCAAACCTTCCTAACTCCAATTGTTCTGCTGCTCCTTATTAAAGGGTGGCTGAAAGAGATTTCACTGTACACTACCCCATGTCAAATTGCAAAAATTTATAATTCCAACCACTGCTGCTTAGGTGGTGAACCAAACTCTCAGCATAATCCCATGGAAATTCACATGAGGTCAAGCAAAAAAATTGACAATTCCTAAGAATCTGGATGAAAATCAGCAGCTTACAGTATAAGCATTCAGCACTTGGAACAAGGCATAGAACCCAGGGGTTTCCACAGTCCAATCATAGATGAAGTATCCACAAACTCCAGCTATCCAAGTGACCAAAAAGTAAGTTGTTTGCACAGCAAGGCCCTGACCAACTGAGGACAACTCTTCTGCAATGTGATCCTTGCGCAAGGCCGGTGTGCTCACATTGCATACAACAATGGCACAGAAAAGAAATCCCACCTGGAACATGATAAAAAAAAAACATAGGGGTGTATCCAGTAAAATACAAATCTTTGCATTGATTCAACTAATTAAAAAACATGAATAATATTGGAAATTGTGATGTCTTACGGATGCCAGAGTGAGCAGAGGTCCAAAGAAGACCCACTTCATGTCATTGTCAAAGGATATCATGCATCTTGGGTCATTTCCATAGTTGAGCATGTCCTGGAACAATGCGTATCCCACTGAGAGGAAGGGGATCCCTAGGTGGAAACAAAAGACCATTTTCATTTTAAAATTTCTCTTGACCCTGCATTTACTGCCAATTTTATGCCAACCTTCCTTAATTCCACCATTGACTAATTTAGGGGTGTCTGGGTGGAAAAAAAGACCATTTTTTCTCTAACCATTGCTGTTGACCCTGCATAAAGTGCAAATTTATGAAAACCTTACTTAATTTCCTCTATACTAACTTATTTTGAACACATACTTCTTTTATAGTTTTTATGCCTCGAATTTAATGCATCAATTCCATCTGTTTGTGCTTTTTTTTAATACCAAGATAGGCACTTGTCTCTAAGTCATCAAATTGGTTGCTATATGAACTGTATCATTCACATTAGTGGATATTTTAGTCTCCTTGTTCAATTAACAGCTCACTCCACTTGCTTTGTTGGAACAGATTTCAGTAGGAATATATATATAAGGAAGCAACTGTTTTTGGGAACTGCTTTCATATAAAGTAAGTTTTCATATCAAGTAAAGTAAGTAAGTCTACTGCATCAGATTCTGTCAAACTGAAGGTATCTTTTTCATTTGTCTGACGTGTCAAAATTTATTCAGTTTTGTTTCTTAATATACTTACCCCAACACAAGAACATGTAAGCCCTCAGTTTCCCACCAATGACACCCTGTGTGATGGCCATGAAGGACGCAAAGGACTCAAAGCAGAACCAAGATGCTGCTGCAGTGTAGAAGTAGTGGAACAAGACAGAGATGGCAGTACAAGCATGTCTGTCACTTCTGATGAAGTTGAAGTCTGATACAACGTGCAGAACCATGCCCACAAACAGGGCAAATGCCAAGTGGGCTCTCATGATGTGGAATTGGTCATGCAAATGTTCCCTGCAACAACAAGAAAATATACACAATAAATGCCCCATTGCCTGAAATTCAACAAATCCTCAAGAAGATGCTGATATGATAGTGTGTTCATTTTTGGGGATTTTGACATGTCAGATCACATTTTCCAATTGATGAAAAGTTGAAAATTTTAGCTATTGCCATGAGAAAATTTGTCAAAATAGAAGTTGGGCTTGTTTGGGGTCAAGAGGTACACAAATTACTTCATCTTAGCAGTGCTGCATATTCATTTTCATTCAAATGCATCTGGTATTGTTCTTGAATACTCAAAGAACTTCATCTTTTCTTTCATTTCATCAGTATATGTACTTTACTTCATGGAAATTGTCCAAATTTTGGAGAGTCCAATGGCAAAAAATGTAATAACTTCTCAGCATGTTTAGAGAAAGAATTGGAAATATCCTCCAGTATAATATAATAAAACCTATTTTGCATGTTCAAAATATAGAAACTAAGTAACTGGGCAGAAGACAACCAGAATCTGCCTCTTTGGCATGAGGAAAGCGCCTAACAGGCACATGAAGCACAATAATTACAGTACTGTACTGCATCCAATTGATGAAAAAACAATACTCCCAAAAGTCCCAAGGGAGGTATACAAAATTAACCTGCTTCCAAAAAGAAATTAAGTAAATTCATTTTAGGATTTTTCATACATTACATCCATGGAAAAGCTGAAGTTGCTCAGGAAAATATCAAAATGTTGAAATTTAAAGTTGATCTTATAATGTTTGCATTTTGCATATATCATGAGAATTCATGAATAAGCAAGTGTTGAAGCAGATTTGTACATTTGCTGTACTGTACTGTATCTTTATGGTCCTGATTTTTTTGCATGACCACACTCCAAAAACTGAATGTGTTTGATGAATTGTATTTCTCAATCTCCAAGAAGGTAATATCACATGCACCAATTCCAAATGAGAAACAAATAGGAAAACATATAGGATAGATTCTTGCTGAGGTCTCAATTTCTTTTTCACCAGTAGATACAAAATATAACTGAATAAATGATTAACTCTGGATATAATTGTAACTTATGTCCAAATGGGGAGAATTTCCTCCATCACTATATTTATTCCCTGAAACTTTCAAAACTTTGAGTTGTGGAAAATCGACAGACAAGTGTTCATGTTCCAACTTTGGTGATGTACAACCTCAGTATATTTTGTGAAAAAGTTTCTATATACAGTACTTGGCCTTGATGACGATGATGATGAAAATCGGCAGGCAGATGATGGACAAAGCATAGCCAACAAATTTGACAACAATCAACCAAGTCGGTTCAGTTGGCAAGTGCTGAAAACAGATACAAATAATATAAAATAAAATTATTTATGAAAAAATAATTATCCTCTTAGTATAATCCAGTCAATTCAATTTTCCTGCTGCTTACATAATGGACAATCATTTCGCCAAGAACTCCAAATTGACCTTGTTTGGCGCATTCGCAGACGGTGTAATTATCAGAGGTTTCTGCAGTAACGCACCCAGTTGTGTCCCATCCGCCAAATTCATGCATGTTGGGGTTCCACCACACACAGTGTCTCACTCTGATCTGCAATAACCATCCAAACAGGGCTTCAGCAATACAAAAATAAGTTGTATGTGAAATAAGTTACACAAGAAAAACTGCTGATAGAATAAGAGATGCATAAATTTCTGCAAGTTTTAGGGTACAATTTAAAATTCTCAAATTGGCTTCAACCCAAAAATGCAGTAAGCCAAAAAATTCTTCATGGTAAGCATTAGGGACACGAAAAGATAGCTTCAAATCATATTTTTTGCAGAAAATTTGCAATATTAATTTTGCAGAAGTTTTGAATGTAAACTTCAAACTTTTGAAGTCACATTTAAATCAAGCCAAATGAAGTGAACCAGGAAAGGAAAAAATGTTATTTTGTAAAGATCAGTGACACTTTAAATTTCTTTCTTCTGGTGAAATTAAAATTGAAACATTTCAGAAAGTTTTCAGTAAAATTTAAAATTGTGAAATTATTTTTGAATCAAGCCAAATGCAGTGAGCCAGAAAAGTTTTCCTGATGGACATTTGAGAAATTGAGCAGATTGCTTGAAAAAACATTCGCTACTAAAATAGATTACATAAATTTCACCAAGTTGCGAGTGTAAATGTGTCTCACTCTGATCTGCAATAACCATCCAAACAGGGCTTCAGCAATACAAAAATAAGTTGTATGTGAAATAAGTTACACAAGAAAAACTGCTGATAGAATAAGAGATGCATAAATTTCTGCAAGTGTTAGGGTACAATTTAAAATTCTCAAATTGGCTTCAACCCAAAAATGCAGCACGCCAGAAAATTCTTCATGGTAAAGATTAGAGACACAAAAAGATTGCTTCAAATCCCATTTTCTACAGAAAATATGCAATATTAATTTTGCAGAAGTTTTGAATGTAAACTTCAAACTTTTGAAGTCACATTTAAATCAAGCCAAATGAAGTGAACTAGGAAAGGAAAAAATGTTATTTTGTAAAGATCAGTGACACTTTAAATTTCTTTAGATAACATCTTCTGGTGAAATTAAAATTGAAACATTTCAGAAAGTTTTGAGTGAAATTTAAAATTGGGAAATCAATTTTATTAGTTCGGTTTACGTCACTCGGTCTTTTCAAAAGGACTACCTGTAAACTCTTTAACTCGTCTAACGAACTTTTTTGTAAGCGATGATTTTATCTAATGTATTTAAAGTGGTTCAACGCTCACATTTGTTCAAACTTTCGAAATCATTTTTAAGTATATCCGCATGCAGTAAAAAATAAAATAAAATTTATGTGAAGTAAATTATAGTGACCAGAAAATATTCTTCAAGTAACCCTTCTTACTAAAAAGAAATATACCTGAATTTTAGCAAGCTTTGAGTAAAATATATGCTTTTGAATGAGCACATGAAACCATGGGCTTTTCTTGCCCAAATAATTTTTTGTGGATATCAAAAATGCAGAATTTTACAATACCCAGCCTAAATTTTATTCTTTTCAGGGGTTTCAAAAATAGGTATATTCCAACTGTTCAGATTTGTTGCAAATAATATGAAGAAAGAAAAAACCCACATTCGGCACGAATTCCTCCTTATGGAAAAGCAGTTTCCGGAGGTTCATGGTCTGCGCTGATTCCACCATTTTGTGTGCAAATCTGATTTTGATCGGATTCGCCATCATGGCGTATTCATCTACTTTGCAATTGGTCTGTTGGGCCTTTGGAGCATTTTTGTTGAGGTCGAACTTGAAGCTCTGGATGTTGCTGTCTAAAATGGCTGGACCTCGTTCAATGGTCCTGGAATGAGGCAAGAAAATAAATTGGATGTACTGTATAGGTTCCTGTGTACTTCCTATAATTTCAGAGTCTTATTGAAAAGAAAAAGACTTGTTTTTGAAAAAAATAATAACGTTGAATGTCGAGTAACGAGAAACAACAACCGTACTTAAGGAGGTCTACTAACATACACAAGTACTGTTACAAGTCGTCGTGACATGGCAGTGTAAACCTAACCTTCATGAACAAGTTCCCTTGAATAAATCAAGGGTACAAAAATGTATAAATCCTTAAGCACATCCTAATATTCTTATTGTTCTGTACATTTTTTTTGCAGTATATTGCTCCAAATTGTCTAGGAAGTGTTCCCCACCCTTTTTTTTAGGTACACATGTAGATAAGGCAAATTTCCATAAAATGTTTTTCAGACCAGCAGATTTTTAAAAAATGTTCTGTGGACTGGCAAAGTTTCATAAAATGCTTCCAGACTCAAAAGAAGTTTTGCTTGAAAGACTCAATGACAGGCATAAAAAGGTCTCCTTCTTTGCACAAATCAAAAACGTTTAAAGCATATATATATAGTGGAATGTCTTTAAAATTAAAAAGGTGGGCTTGAAGAAAGGTTTCTTGGAATGCAAAATATAGAATGAATTGTTTCAGCAGGTGAAAATTTGTCTGAAGTGTTGGAGAAAAGCTAACTCATACTTCTTCATCAGATAGTTTCAACTGCCATTGTCTTTCCAACATTTCAAATAGAAAATTGGAAACAAATTATTGCAACTTTTGTTAATTTATTATGCAGCAGAAAATTTCCTGTAGACCAGCAAAAAACTTCTGAGGACCAGTGCCAGTCCATGTCCCATGGGTTGGGGAACAGACTTCAAATCCATAGTTTGAAGTCTAGGAGACTTCAAATCCAGCACAATTTTATTTTAAATTGCATGTTTATAAAGGCGGGTAACACAGCATCTATGAGATGATTTGTGAACTTTGAATTATTGAAAAGCTAGTTTTTAGGTCAGGTTTGGCTTTACAGTGGTACAGTACTTTTTCATCAAATTTCTAATTGAGGAATTACTTTCCTGATATTTATAGAAATAAACTTTTCTAAATCACCAAAGCACCACAATAATTCCTGTGAAGTACCATAGGCATGGGTACCACATTCCTTTGTAAAATTTATACAATTTTCCCAAAAAAGTATGAGTCCCTGTGCAAAAAGTTTTGCAGGGTTCTAAACACACACACAGACTACTGAGAATAGACTTCGTGTTTCGTTGGGTAAAATAGTTTTCTTCAGGATTGGAAAGGACTGTAAAAATTTTCCATTTCACTTTTTCTTTTTCTCTCCATATAGTCCAATGCATTGGAAAATTCTCCCTGAATTGGTAAAATTTGGAGTGCCTATGTAGCAACCCAGCCCACACATGTTAGCTCACCTTCAATGCTGTCACTTGGATATTCAAACTTCTCCTTCAACCCTTTGTCCCAAATAGTGTCAGAGTAATTTGGAAACACAATGGGAGGAGACTTGGCCAAGTATCCAATCCTGGCCACTCCAAACTTGGACACTGCATACAAAAGAACATGAACAATTAACCAAACTGTGACCTTGATAACCTTCCTGCAGTAGAGCCAGGATTTGCTTGTGCACAAAATGTGCATCCAAAAAAGTTTTAAAATGTGAAAATATGACCCCAGGGGATATAGTTCAGCTTTGTAAACATTCATTTTTCCTTTTTTGCCTTCTTCTTTTCATGTTTCTAGGGCAAGGAAAAAGCATGAAAGTGCATCCCATCCTAGAATGCATTCTTTCCATGACCTATAACTAATCCAGGAATAACCTGGGCATTGCCAATTAATTTTGCTGGATTCATCTTCAGATTTAGGCCACACAGCTCAGCTGTAATAGAAACCCTTATGATCAAAGGACAACTTGCTGAAACCTGAGGGTCACATAAACCCTTCTACAAGGAAATTGAGGTATTTTTTGCAAAATGTTGTTCCCAAGATCATTAAAAAAACATGAACTGTGATTCAAGGCTTAAGTTGGGAAAAACTCCTTCATACAGTACCGTGATGAGACTCCCACATGTGGATGCCTCAACATGTGGACAATTCAAAATAGAGACACTTATCTTCCCATCAAAAATTAATAAAATGGCACAACATGAGGACACTGACTCAACATAGGGACATTTGGTTATAAAGTTGCAAATAAGTTTCAAGCCAAATTACAAGAAACAGATATTTCCAACCCTAAAATGTGTGTAAGAAATGTTCTGGGCATTTCTCCCACCAATTTACCATCCATACCATCCATTTAGGTAATTTTAAAAAATTTCCTCCAGCATACAGGGACTTTCTTTTCTATTTTTCACTTGAATATTACTTTTACGGAGAATGCCAACATTTCTCTGTACTGTTCAAAGGTATCAGCATTCAATTCCCCAAATGTTCATACTGGTATTGTGTTTAAATATATTCATTAAATCAGTTTAAATTGGGAGACAATTTTTATTTTCATGTAATTATGGTGAGTATTTTGTACATAAAACACCAATTAAAATATATAAAGTTATTAGTCTAAGGGATAATGAGGCTTATAGGGACACTCTTGATGCCTCAATTACATCTGCATCTCAGGGTCTCACTGTACTTCATTTTTGCGGATTTTGCCAGCAGGAAAATTTTGAAAATATTCCTTGCAATGGGCAGAAGTATTTCTGGATTTTTAGCATAGGATTAGCATTGCAGGTATCTGAAAATTAAAGTAATTACTCTTCCAATTCTTTTTAATGTCAACCTTCTCAAGCTAGGTGACATTTTGGTGACCCTCAGTCAAACTGAAATATGCATTGAGGGCAAAATAATTTCCCATTTTGCCCAGAAATGGAAAAGAGGCTGATGATGATGCTGACACCTTAATGAGGGCTATAATAACGTACCAATCTCATCTGAAGGCACATCCACAAACTTGGTGGTTGTCATGAGTAAGCCGTGTGAGTACGACAACCGGTTTAAGTACTTCATTAGAAGGACTGACGGGTGCTCAAACCTACGGGGGCCAAACATGGGACGAAGTGGCTACCTAAGGGTCCGAAGGGCTAACGGGAAGTGCATGGACGAAGTGGCCGACATAGACGTCTATAATAGGGAGCGAGGAAACCGATTAGATACATCAACCTAGATGTCGCTCCGAGTAGCGTTTCCATTATTTACAGATGCTGATTTCGCTGCTTCTTCGGGGGTAATAGACGACTTGAACATGCGGCCCCTAACGTTACGTCACTGCTTTAACTACTCCCTGAGGTGAACAACCAGACCCCAACGTGGACAGAACGGTTCCCAACGCAGATCGCCTAACGTAGTTATACTAATTAAGTAATCTAAAACTTTTGTTCAACTTTTATTATTTTTTTTTCGTAGGAGGGAATAAATTACCTGAGGGTTTCACAGGTTCAGAAGTCAGGTTGGCTTCCCCGACAATCGACTCCACTGCTATCCAAGCCACTTCGCGACTCATTTCGTCGTTCAATGAACTCGATTCTCTCTGAAGAAGGTTTTAAATAAATGAAAAAAATATTTAGAAATGTTATCTGTCTATATATTTATTTATTGGGGATAGAAATAGAAAGCTTACAATCGAATTGAGGATGACTGAGGTTGGAATTCCGGCCAACTCGGGAACTGAAATGAGGAAATGAATAATAATTTCAAGTCGAATTAGAAATACAGTACTGCTATACGGATTTTTTTTAGTATTCTGGACCAAAAACTTTATGCCAATTAATTTAAAGAAAAACAACTAAATCTGCATCAGAAGGTGAAAAGCTGAATATAATTAGACACATAGTGCTGTAATATATATGACCTTTTTCAAAATTCAAAAATAATTTAAGAAGGTGTAAGGGATTCCCCAAAGAAAGAGAATTTATGAGTAAAACACCACAATCAGCCTATGACTGGTTAGGAGCCTCTTTATAGAGGCTCCGAGAATAAATTGATACTTGTTCATGTCCCAAAAGAATCAACATCTCAGAATCTTCTTCAAGAAAAATACAAACACCCAAAAATTCGCCCAATTTTTCAGAGTCTTGGTTCAAGCATTGGAAACTAAGAGTGGGAATGAGAGTCTGAAAGAAAATGTACTATTGATTTAAAGTATAAAGCCATGTCAGGCTTTATATATAGTTTCAGTTATGTTTTTGCATAGAGTACAATATTGTCACTTTAAAAACTAAAACTCTGTGTCAAATTTTGCAGGTCATCATTCATAATGCTGCAACCTTTTGCCTCTGCTAGTGATGGGAATAATGTGACTGCACAATTTTCCATTTTTGTTGCCGGATTCCCTGAAGGGTTTCTCATTTCATGAGCAGCCAGGCTCATTCATTGTTAATTTCAAGTTCCTTCTATTCTGGCCTTTTTAGTACATCAAATCAAATCCTCTGGATCCATGTGCTTTTCAAAATTCACCAGGCCTTTGTACAAAAGAACCTCTGTAAGTTTAATTTCTAGGGACCAGGAAAAATATTGACTTACAGAGGTTTTTGACTTACAGAGGTTTTGAATTTTGGAGCTTTCCAGTTGAGGAAATATAAACACTTTGTTGTGAGAAGTAAAAAATTGTGGGAAATCATAAATGAGAATATTCTGAGCCTAAACTTGCTCCTTAATGAGTTTACACCTTCCTCAACTTGGAGGCAGGTGTTCATTTGATATATTTGTCTCTCACTTCCTTCCAAGATGAATTAAATCATTTGTTTTGACTATTTTTTCTTTCATATTTCAAAGAAATAATAACCATAAGGCCTCAGAAAATTCAACTTAAAGACATTTTAGAGATAAATACTTTGAGTTAGGGAGTTTTTCAATGCATTGATTCTAAGTGAATTCAGACAGGGGCTAAAAAAAATTTGACTTAGGGAGGAATTTGACTTGGGGAGGTTTGAATTATTGAGGTGCACCTGTATAATGGCATACATGAAAGAATCCTCATCACGGCTTCCAAAAGTTTTGGGCTTTTGTTCAACTGTGGGCAGGGAAGAAATCACTTGAATTCTTCCTCACCAACAGAAATCAGGTGTCTTAAGAACCTCCCCCATTCTTCTTTTGGTGGAAAAGTTAGAACTGAAAACCCGAACATGAAAAGCCTACAAACTAACTGAAGTGAAGTACCTGAGCTAACCATCCTAATGGAATCATTTTCAAATAGGCCAGTGATGCAGTGAATTATATCTAACAGCCAAATGGTAAAAAAATGAGTGGCATAAAGAAGCTCCTCCTGTTTTTCTGGGAGCTGCTTAGTTCTCATCCAAAACGTGTGAAAGTTGTGATTCCTCTGGTTGTAAGAACACCCAAAGAGGTATATAGGTTATACATAGGCAGCATTTCTTGAAGAGAAATAACTCACGGTATCCTCCAGCAAACATGGCACTCTTGTTGTCATAGTTGTACGCCGGGGATTGCAATGCAGTGACGAAATTGATGAGGGACTCCACTTGTTGGTCTGGGGTTGCACCTGTCTTGCCAAGGGTTGCGTCTAGCGGATTGCATCAATATGATTAATTCATTAGATTCACTTTTGTTCAACTTTTTTTTTTTTTTTTCGTAGGGGAAATAAATCACCTGAGGGTTTCACAGGTTCAGAAGTCAGGTTGGCTTCCCCGACAATCGACTCCACTGCTATCCACGCCACTTCGCGACTCATTTCGTCGTTCAATGAACTGGATTCTCTCTGAAGAAGGTTTTAAACAAATGAAAAAAATATTTAGAAATGTTATCTGCCTATATATTTATTTATTCGGGATAGAAATAGAAAGCTTACAATTGAATTGAGGATGACTGAGGTTGGAATTCCGGCCAACTCGGGAACTGAAATGAGGAAATGAATAATAATTTCAAGGTGAATTAGAAAAAAAGTACTGCTATATGGATTTTTTTTATTATTCTGGACCAAAAACTTTATGCCAATTAATTTAAAGAAAAACAACTAAATCTGCATCAGAAGGTGAAAAGCTGAATATATAGACACATAGTGCTGTAATATATGACACATTTTAATATTTTTGTTGTAGATTTTCTCTTTCATATTTCAGGAAATAATAACCATAAGGCCTCCAAAAATTCAACTAACAGAGGTTTTAGAGAGAAAGACTGAGTTAGAAAGGTTTTCAATGTATTGATTCTAAGGGAATTTGGACAGGGACTCGAAAAAAATTTGACTTAGGAAGGGATTTGACTTAGGGAGGTTTGAATTATTGAGGTACACCTGTACAACGGCTACATGAAAGAATCCTCATCATGGCTTCCATAAGTTTTGGGGTTTTGCTCAACTGTGGGCAGGAAAGAAATTGCTTGATTTCTCCCTTGCCAGCAGAAATCATGTGTCTTAAGAACCTCCCATTCTTCTTTTGGTGGAAAAGTTTGAAACTGAAAACCTTGAGCATGAAAAGCCTACACACTAACTGAACTGAAGTACCTGAGCTAACCATCCTGATGGAATCATTTTCAAATAGGCCAGTGATGCAGTGAATTACATCTAACAGCCAAATGGTGAAAAAACTGAGTGGCATATATAAAGAAGCTCCTCCTGTTTTTCTGGGAGCTGCTTAGTTCTCATCCAAAATGTTACTTTCAACACTAAGGAGACCAACATTCTTGTGGGTTTCTCCATATATCCAATATGTATCCGTCGTAAAGAACTTCTCTTTATTGAGTGCCATAGGAGGTCGTTTGTACCGTGAGAACAACAGTATCATGAACGTGTCCCAAAACGCAATTTCATCAAAGAACCCTCCTCCAAAAAGGGTTCCAGCAGAGGACCCACTGTCTCTGTGACATCCCAACATGAGGGTGGGTGGCAAAAGGGCTTTCTTTGCTGTACCCCCAACTGCATTAGTTGGAAAGTTTACTGCTGCTTGTTGCTCAACATTTATGAGAACTTCCAGTTTGCCCTTTTCGGATCCCTGTGGTCTCAGCCATCGAAATGCAATGTTGTTCCAGGTGTCATTGTAGAGACTGGGAAGGAACACTGATTCCCAATACTGGGCACCAGTGCTCACCAGGACTCCTATGAAGGGTCCTTCCCACCACAAGTGGATCCCAGGGTGTCCTTGTTTGTCTCCTCCTAAATTAGGAATATACACAGTTATTAGAAATAAAGGAGCAATTGATAAACAGGGTGCGCAAAAAAAAACAGTATGCCCAAGTTTGACTCAAAGTAGCTCATTAGCAAATTAAGGTGTGGCAATGAAAAGCTAACACTAAATGAAAGCTTGTTTGATTTTCTTGCAAATGGTATAATTTCCATGTTCCAAAAGGTCATGGCATGGTCACAAGGACCATTTCAATGAAAAACTTTCCAAAAGAAATTAACAGGCAACTCTTAGGTGATTCGACGGTAAGAGTTTTCGACAAAAGTTTTTACCACGTCCTGGTCAGTAAATTTGTCGTTTGAAGTACAACGGAAGTTTTCCCACGTCTGTAAGGGTTATACATCCCCCAAAGTCAAAAGCTTCCCACTGGGCAAGCACAACCCAAGTGGGGAGCTATTTTGCTTTGACCCCACAGTAGGTGCACACCAGGGTCACAACTGGTGAATTTGGAATCTTCTGGGGTTGCAAGTATGCACTCCTGTAGAGGATTTTTTGCTACCATTCCAGGGCTACACACCTACACTTAATGCACAAATGTAACAGAACAGGAGTATCACACAAATGCATCAACTGTAATTTGGTGTAACTTATTTGTTTACAAATGTGACCCTGAGTAACCCTGGTGTGAACACACAATTGGTGCACATAGGGGATATACATGTGCAACAGAAGAACTTTGGTACACTTCAGGTGCACAGCACGGTCACTGTGTAGAATTACAAATGAATCTCCAGTGTGCACCAATTTCCCTACTCAGGAGAAGGTGTTCAGCCTGCTACTAGATACATTTTAGTTGAATACAAAATTTGAAGAGAATCTCTGATGAGATATCATTGCGTCCTAAAAAAGATGATATAGAGGGTCCCCTCTATATATTTGGTGACTGTTCCATGTGCAATAACACTAAATTTGGGTGACGGAACACATCTAATAATCCTCAAACACTCCCATAAACGTTAAACCCTGAGGTAATATAAGACTACTTAAGAAGATGTTGGACAAGTATGTGTAAACCTTGTACTTTGTTGTAAGAAATCAACATCTGGTTTCAAGATGATGAGGGTTCACTTTACCATATAGGGGTCAAACTTGAAATATTGAATAATAACCCAATACAGTTATGGCATCTCACCAGTGCTGACGAGAGTTTCCCTGGCATAATTCGCATTGCTGGACCTGGTGTAATACTTGAGATACACATCTTTCATCGGAATCTCCCTCTTGTAAAAAAACGACATTGAAATGCCGTTTGAGTCGTTTGTTGTACACCTACCCAGGCGCTACGTACACATCAATAACGCTTTCTTCAGTAACAGGCAGTTCGTGACTTTATATATTTTTAAGTTTTGAATTAGACTTTTGTAGGGCTATTTGCAGTAATCTTTTTCAATTACATAGCCCTTGAAGCTGAAATGTGTTTAGATTCTCAGCCATTTTTTGCTCACGGGAACCATATAATGATAATAGGAGCAATTTTTTTCGAAATTTCACGAATTCAGGGCGCCAATATATATTCTTCGAAATTTGCCAATAGCTGATTTTGCCCTTCTGAAATTAAAAACCGCGGTGAAATCTTTTTCAAAACAGAGCAATTTTTCAGGACCAGTAAAATATAGTTCGTCGTTATATGAAGAAAATTAATGATGAAAATTGATTAAAAAAATTGTTGGCTGTTTGGACAGAGACCTAAAAACAAATTTTTTGTGAGTGATTATTTATTTTACTGCAAATATAATGTACTTTTTGTAAACATCAGTATTTGGGGTCTGCAATAAGCTGCACTAAAAATGTCAGTCTTCAACAGAAAAATTGTAAATTTACCATACATCTTCTAATAGAGGCCAGGTCTCTACTGAGCACCAAGGCTCAGACAGAGTTCAAGGGAAAAAGTGCCAGTCTCTATTATAGTAGCTGGGTGCCTCACAAGGGCCAAAGAAGGGACTGAAAGTGTAAAACAAAGGGATATTTTGTCTTGCTTCCATCACATACAGTAGTATATTCCCTTTTGTCACTTCATGTGAAGATCCTTGTTTGGAATTTCAACCAAGAGATGCCACCCTGGAGCACTCTTTCACTTAAAAATCCTCTATTCTGCATAAATTTGGCATTATCCCATCTATAGCTCTTCTGCGTGTTCATTTGCCTGTAAAAATCCCACCAAAATGGTTCTTTGATGTTGTTTTCAAGATTAAAGCTGCACAGAAAAGCAAAAGAAACATCTTAAATCAACCTTGTTTTGAAGGATGAGATAAATGGTTGGAAGGAAGAAGTCAAAGTAATGTGAAAGATGTGGTGGAAGAAGATGATGATAGTGAACTTGGAAACAAAGAAGGTGTTACTTTAGAATCTGACAAAGATGTGTGAAAGGTTAAGATGAGTGAGGGTTCCATGAATAAAAATAAGTAATTTACTGCATCAAATGTTCCCCTTTTTAGCCAATGATATATTGTACCTCTTTTATTTACCAATATTTTACCATTTTACCAAGAAATATTTTACCAAGATTTTACCAATAATCTATTTTTTCCCAATAATTGGATTTTTAAAATAAATGACAGTCTCTAAAAAAATGCGAGGGGGACAGGGGCAATATTTTAAATAAATTCCAGGTGCGTCTAATATTAGAAGATACGCACAGTATATGGTTCTCTGGGAAGGGTTTTATGATACATAGCTGATACTTTTTATTTATCTTATTGCCGCTTTAAAGTAATTAAATGAAATAATGTTGACATAAATTCATCAAGGGAGAAAATAAAAAAAAATGTGTAAGATAAAGTGAACCAAGGAAAAAAATGTTCACCTCTTTGTCCCAGTCCCTTATTTCCACTGCTTCTCCAAATTGACTAGGCCCATTTGCCACAACAGGCACAGCATTTGTTCCAGTTAAACTTGAAGCATTTGCCAATGGCTTTCCCCAGTGGTACAGGGTTGTTTCAGGAAATCTCACAGCTGCATAGAAAGATCATTTCTATTTGTGAACACCCATTTTTCAAATATAATAGGGAATTTTTTCAAAGGATGGATGAAATTTTGTCACAAGAAACATTTGAGACTAGGGACTCGTTCTATAAGGAACCAAAACAGATAATTGCTGTCAAAAGTTTGTGATATCAAAAGTTTTTCAGGAATTTTTAGTTTTTTTTAGAAATTGGCCCTTTCTTCCTCCAAGTCCTATTTTTCCTTTGATAAAATTTGAAAATTTTCCAAACAAAATAAAGTCTCCAAGTGGAGAAAGTAGACATATGATGTAGTATTCTTTGTAAACATGCAATTTTCTTCAAGTTACAGTGTCAGATCCATTTACTATTGATTCAATCTTTTATAATCCTCTGAAAATTTTATCTGTTATTCTTCTCTGAAATAAAATTTTAAAGAAAGAGTTTCATCAAAAATTTCAACCAGCTTGAAAACCTTTGAAAAAAGGTGAGAAATTCCAATGAATTTGATGGAACTGCGGAAAACTTCTCAAAAAAAGGGAACAAGTTGCAGGGAATCCGGAAAATTCCTTAGGCATAGATTTAAAAAAATGTTCAACAGCGTTTTCAGGGCATTTTTACTCAATTTTTTTTGTCAAATACAGTAATTCAACCGCAAAATTTTAAGGATCTTTTACAATTTAAATGCCGTGGATTATGCTGTGCAGGAAGTCAATATTTGACAAGATTAATCATTCAGGAAACCATATATTTTCTAGGTCAAGTTTTTTTTATTCAAATTCCAATATTCTGATGAATCCTGTATTTGCTTACGGTATGGCGGCAATGTTGGCACCGGAATCCTGACCGGGAATCCTGCAAAAGCGCAACAAAAATCGTCATTCCAAATCCTTCACTACAGATCACAAGTGTGTGTGTGCTTTTTTTCGTACGTCTTTTTATTTGATTGGTCCTCCATCAAACCGTTCATGAATAAATTCAATCAGGAACTCAAGGAGGAAACCTTGCATGCAATTGTATGCGTTTATGCTCCCACCAAAACCCCTTTCTGCTGATTCAAACAGATTATCTCCTTTTCCACTGCTGCCAAAATAAAATTAAAAAGATGAGAGGGATCTCCAGCATGATGGCAATTTTCCATCACTGCCAATTGCTGAAAAACCCTGCTGACACTTGGAAAGCCTTTTGTTTGACCACTTCTTCTATTTTCCAGTTGAATCCAATTCCAATGATTTCCTGCATGTGAACCAAAAAAACTTGACACAAAAAGTTGTGCAAGAATTCTGAATTGATACTGGTTGTTATAACTCGGACGAAGGGCCCTTTATAACATGTTAAGGTTTCTACAAGCCATTTCCATGGAGTTTCCTGGGTGAATTCTATGATTCAGAATCATAGCAACAAACCCTTGGTTACCCCACAACGTTCCTGGTTG